AGACAGGGTCGGAGATTTGGTACGCAAGTGCCATCCCCGACCTGTCGTGATTGCCGGGGATTTCAACGCCCACTCCGAGGAGTGGGGTTGCACTCCCCGGCAGCGGGATCCCAGGGGCGAGGCGGTCATCGGCTGGACGGCGGGATTGGGCCTTCTGTTAGTAAACAGAGGGTCCACCGGCACCTGCGTAAGGCCGGGAGGGGGGTCATCGGTCATTTACTTGACCTGGGCCTCCCTCTCGGCTGCAAGAATGATCTCAGAATGGAGGGTGGAGGCGGAGGGCGAGACGCTATCTGACCATAGATATATAGTCTGGGCCCTCCGCCTCCCCAAATCGAGACAGGTGTCGGCTCGCTGCCCAGGGGAGAGGAATTTTCCTCTCCCCGAAAGATGGGCCCTCAGTCGACTCGATGTAGACAGGTTCCAGGCCGCTGTCCTTGTGGCCACCTGGCACATAGAGCCAGGTGAGTGGGACCCCGGCCCCCAGGAAGGGGCCGGGGAGATAACGGGGATAGTGGCGTCGGCATGCGACGCCGCGATGCCCCGTTCCCACCGCCGCCGGGCAGCGTATTGGTGGTCGGAGGATATCGCGGCACTCCGCGGTGCCTCCGACCGCGCCAGAAGGGCGTATACGCACGCCCGGCGACGAGACGGGGATGCCGCAAAAGGGGACTACCTTGCAGCCAGGGTAGTCCTTAAAGCGGCCATCAAGAAGGCCAAGCGCGAAGCCTGGCAGCACTTGGTAAGCTCCCTGGACGACGATCGGTGGGGGCGCCCATACAAAAGGACGATGGGAAAGATCCGTCCTTGGGCGCCCCCGCAAACGGAAACGTTAGACCCCCAGGCCCTTGATAGGATCCTGGACGCCCTTTTTCCAAGGGCGGAAGGGGGCCCCCAGTGATCCCTCCCCCAGAGATGGGGGAGGGAGACTGGGACGAGGGCCTGGAGGTCACTCCAGAGTAGCTTGCCAAGGTCCGGAGAAAGCTCGGGGGCACGGGCAAAGCCCCTGGCCCCAACACGATTCCGGGCCGTGCCTGGGCTCTTGCGTTGGTCGAGGGGGACCTGTCCACGGCCATGTGCAGGGTCATGACCGGATGCCTAAGGGAGGGGGTCTTCCCCCAGAGTGGAGGAGGGCCAAGTTGGCCCTCCTCCCGAAGGAGGGCAAGGAGCCCGGTAGTGCGTCAGCCTACAGGCCGATTTGCCTACTGGACGAGGCGGGCAAGATGCTGGAGCGCATCATTGCCGACCGCCTCGTCCAGCACATGTCCTCGAGTGGGCTGGACCTCCACGACCGCCAATACGGGTTCAGGCCCGGACGATCCACACTGGATGCGATCCAGTGGGTCCGGAACCTGACCCGGGCGGTCGTGGAGATAAGGGGCGGGGTGTTGCTGGCTGTGTCGCTAGACATATCAAATGCCTTCAACACCCTGCCCTGGCCGGAGATAGGACGGGCTCTCGAGCACTTCGAGGTGCCCGCCTATCTCCGGCGGATAATGTCCGCCTACTTCGGGGACAGAGACCTCGCCTTCACCAAAGAAGGTGAACCGCAGGAGTCGGTGCTCGGCCCCCTGCTATGGGACATCGGCTTCGACCGGGTTCTTCGCACTCCGCTCCCCGACGGCTGTCACGTCGTCTGTTACGCAGACGACACGTTAGTGGTGGCCGAAGGGGGAACTGGGAGGAGGCCCGCTTCCGCGCGGAGGTGGCAGTGGCATCGATGGTGGGAACCATCGAAGACCTGGGTCTCAAGGTGGCGCCCCAGAAGACTTAGGCTGTTTTTTCATGGCCGGCGTCGGGCGCCACCGGAGACCTGGGTCCTAGTCGATGGCGTCCACGTCCGCGTCGGGCCGACGATGAAATATCTCGGCCTGACGTTGGACAGCCGGTGGTCATTCGGCCCACACTTCAGGCTGCTGGCCCCCAGGGTGCGCAAAACCGGCCTGGCCGTGTCCAGGCTGATGCGCGCCCAGGGGGGCCCAGGATGGCAGGCTCGCCGCCTGTATGTCGGTGCGGTTCTCTCGATCGCCCTGTACGGGGCGCCTATATGGGCCCCTCATCTGCTGGCCTCCGCGGTGGCCAAGAGGCAGCTGAGGCAGGCCCTTAGGCCCCTAATGATCAGGGCGATTCGGGGGTTCCGCACAGTGTCATACATGGCGGCGACCACCCTGGCCGGCTCCCCCCCTGTGGAGCTCCTCGCCGAGGAGAGGAGGATCCTCTACTGGCGAGTGAAGGAGCTCCGCGAGGGGGGACAGCTGACGGCCAGGGGCCTGAAGGGCCTGATGATCCAGGCCAGAGACCGGACCCGGGAGCGGTGAGAAGGCTTGTTAGGCGACCCCCGTGGGTCCGGTCTCGCAACGGCCGAGGCTGTTCGCCCCTGTCTGTCGGAAATGACAGACAGGAGGGGGCGTGGAATGTCCTTCCAACTGGTGCAGGTATTGACCGGGCACGGATGCTTCGGGAGATACCTGCATCGGATAAGGAAGGAGCCCACCGCTCGGTGCCACCACTGCCCCGAGCAAGAGGACACGGCGCTGCACACCCTAGCCACCTGCGCGGCATGGGAGGAGCAGCGCCGGGGCCTGCTCGGGGCGGTGGACTGCCAAGGCGGGGAGCTCTCGCTCCCGCACCTGATGCGAGCCATGTGCGGGAGCGAGAGAGCGTGGGATGCGGCGGCCTCCTTCTGCGGGGAGGTAATCTCCCGGAAGGAGGCCGCCGAGTGGAGGCGCCGGCCTGGCAAACGCCGTCGGAAAGGATGGCGGGGCCGGCGCTCCCCCGGGGGAGGGGGAGTCGGAAGCGGCCCCGAGGTGGCATCAGACGAGGAGAGGGCGCCGGCCTACACGGGTCGGCGCCTCCCTCGGCCACCTCGGGCTAGGCTCCGTCATTCAGAGGGGAGCGGGGAGGGCAACTCCCGCTCCTCTGAATGATTGGATAGGGGGGAAAGGGGGAGGTGGGGAACCCGATTGGGCCCACCTCCCAAAAATCCTTCCCTCTCCCTTAAGGAAGAGGGGGGATAAGGAGGAAGGGTGGATCCCCTTTCTCCAAGGTGACACCAGAAGGCCAACCGGCGGGGATACCCGCCGGGGACCGTACCTCTCCCACTAATTCCCCGAAAGGGGAAGGGGGGGTGCGGTACAAGAAGGCGAGGTGCTCTTGGAATAGAGCCCTGGGGCCGGAGGGTTGGTGAGGGAATGCGAGAACAGTTCCCCTAACTCCCCTCCTCACGGTCCGACAGGTAGACATCCCGCAGGGGTTTTAGTCGGTAAGAGTCCGACATAATCCCCGCCCCTCCCCAAGGGGGCGGAGGTATCCATGATGGATTTCCCCTGCGTGAACAAAAAAAAAGAACTGACCAATTATAGCCGATTATTTTTGTAATAATCGACTGTGATTCGCCAATTCTTACGGCTTACAACTTACGACATGTATTGTAGACCAGGCCTTAGGCTAATATTACATGTGTCGTACGATAAGCTTTTCGGATACATTGATTGGCATACGCGGAGCAATCTTAGAAATATTTTGTTCGTTAACCAATCAACATATTCGAAAAGATTGTCGTACGACAAATGTAATATCATGGAGTCTGAGCTTAAGCTTTATATTACCAGCAGGGGTACGTTCCAAAATCAACCTTGGTTAACTTCGGAGGTTAAAGGAATGGTAGGAGTATAGGTTACTTGAGGTACTTCTACCGTAGAAGTTGTTTTGGAACGAGTATGTAGCTACACTACTGGACTGGTACAGCTATAAAAAGAATAGATTATATACAATTATGGCAGCAGAAGTAAATAGAAGACGCATAATAACATTCAGTGCATTTGCTGCAAGTAGATATTTCTTAAATAGTATTATCGAAATAGTTTGTGATAGTGATAATGAAGATGACGAAGAATGAATGCAACGCCTAATAAATATAGAAAAGAATGTAGCAATACGTGGCAGCCTGAGGAAAGCAGTCCGTATTGAAGGTTATGTTGAACATATCATACCAAGGTTTTCCGGAAAGCAATTTAAAGAACACTTCAGAATAAGTGCAACAGTTTACGGCAATTTGGAAAATTTGGAAGAAATAGTTTAGGAGATTTACTATCGAGACAAGTAGCAACAAGTCGTTTAACATTACCCGTGCGAAAGCAATTGCTAGCTACTGTATGATTATTGGCTACACCTGATTCCTACAGGTAAGTACTGTTGATAAATTTTATCAACATCACATTTTACTTTATTTTATAATATTTTATATCTGTATAAATCTTTCATTATTCTTGTATTGTTTCAGATTTGTAGGAATAAAATTTAATTTAGCAAAGTCATCACTCAACCATTGTGTCAGGAGAGTAATAAAAACTCTAAATTTAATCGCATCACAAGTTATATCCTGGCCAAGAGAGGATCATTTATTAAGTACAAAAGCCAAATTTCAGAAGATTTCCAAATTGACTAACGTTGAAGCCATAGATGGTACACATATTGAAATACCTGCTCCAGAAGTATGTTGATTCTTTACATAATAGTTATTGGCTTAGTATGTTCAGTAATTGAAAATGTTAATTTTAATTCCTAGGTTGAGTTTTACAATACACGTAAATGCAGATATGCGATTGTTTTACAAGTAGTATGTGATGTCGACTTACGATTCATAGATTGTTTCGCTGGATATCCTGGATCGGTTGGCGATTTGAGAGTATTTAAGAATAGCGACTTGTGGCACGCTATCAATAGGAACAGGAACAATTTCTTTCCACATGAATATATCATTGGCGACAAAACTTACTCTATTTTAGGATGGTGTTTGCCTCCATATAAAGATAATGGTCATCTTACAAGGGTAAAGAGATAAAAATAATATCAAAAATCTTAAATTCGTCACTTTATTAACCATACTTTTCTTTCGTTTTTAGGCACAACAAAGATTCAACCAGTGTCTTATAAAAGGTAGACAGATTATCGAACGAGCTTTTTCACTATTAAAGGGGAGATTCCGACGTCTGAAATACTTACATATGAATCGAGTAGATTTGATTCCCGAAACTATTTTGGCGTGTTGTGTTCTGCACAACTTATATATTAATGATTTAGATAAAGATATAATTGAGTATATCTTAGATGGTGAACCAATACATAATGAAGTGGATGATAATAATGAAGAACATGCAGGAGACGCAGAAGGTATTAATAAAAGGAATTATATAGCTCAAATGTTACATTTAGTTTACATTTAGTAGATTAAAAAATTATGTTAATTAACTGTATAAACTGTGTTTATTACAACTGTAACAATACTTATATATATGTATGTATTTAAATATTTATGAACGAAATAAATAAACATTTTCGAACAATACTTGAGAATAAGAATATGAGTTAAAGACAACCAAAATAAACTTAAATTAAACTTTAGTTTGTTGAAATATATATCATTATATAACTAAAATATGTCATGTTAAAGTTTAAACTCGAAATAAAATTCGAACAACTCAAAACAAAAAGTATTCCATAAATATTATGCTTCTATTATGTATATCAGTCCAGAAATGTAAGGCAGACTTGAGCAAAAGCCAAATATCAACGTGAAGAATAAATTCTTCTTACATTAAGGATTGATTCCTCGCATCATTTATCTCTTTTTAATTATGTCAGAAGTGAGAAAACGTATGTTAAAAATTTTTGCAAAACATGTAGAAATAAAAAAATATATGTATAAGGTGACACTTACAATCCATGGAACAAATTTGTAATATATTCTGAACATTTCTTTTTTTCTAATAATAAATAATTTACTGTACATTAATGTAACACTATTATGCGAAGAAATAGATTAAAAAGATTAATTATATGTCATGTTAATTTGCAATCAATTATTCATTGTTAGAGTAAAAGGGAAGTGTTTGGACTATTTTATAAAATTGCTCGATCAATTATGTTATTTCATGGATATATTTTTTTATTTCAATATATTTTGCAAGAATTTTTAGCATCATTTTCTTGCTTTTGATATCATTAAAAGGAAAAATGATGTGAGAAAACGGAAGCCTTAATATGAACACCAAAATAACATTAACCAAACTTTTGTAAACTGAACGTTAATTATCTTCCTAAAAACAATTCTTTGGCATATACTAAGAATTATTTTTATCACAAAATTCCCAATAATAGTAATGGTATATAACTAATAATACTGATAATAATACGTAAACAATTCTTAATATTTTTAACATATGCAATAAAATGAAATATTGAAAACAGTCTCTTAGAAAAATATTTTTAGCAAATTATAGTTTTTTATTAATTTTTCTATCACCTCGCGAAAAGTTTTTGTTGCGTTTTCTATTGCAATTATTTTTTCTGCATTACGCTGTTCCTGACAGTTGTCTCGTTCTTTCCTATACTCGATAAAGTTTTCTGTCCAGGAAGATAAATGTCGTTCAATCTTAATCTTCTTTTGTTTCTTTGATTCATTATTATCTGCTGCACTGTTTTCTGCAGATGATGTATTTTCATCTTCAGCCTCAAGTCTCATATTTGACACAACTTTAACCGGATTCACATTTGGTTTGCCTCCATATAAGCAATCCATTTCATTGTAATATCGGCATGTTTTAAGTGTAACTCCTGTCTTTTTATTATGATCTTTTATTCTCATGTAGACTTTCCTCATATTTGTCCACTTATCTTTAATTTGTGTTCTGGTAACATTATAATTTCCACTAATATTCATTTGTACTTTAATTTTGTCCCACACTGTATCATTTTTTATTACAGTGCTTTTAAACTCATCTTGATAATCTTCATACAAACTAAATAACAGTTTCACGCTTTTATCGTTCCAAACAGCTGAAAAGTAAAATAAATATATAAATAAGTGAAAAAATTGACTTGCGTTACAACATAATGTTAATTTTTTCGTTAATATATACCTGCACTTATATTCGATGATTCATCTATATTATTATGATTAACAGAGTTATTATTATTATTTAAATTCGAATCTACAATTGAAATAATGATTGCAAGAGTAATATATATATATATTCGTATTTCATGTAAACAAATATATTATAAAGTAAATAAAATAATATTACATGAGGCATTAACTTCAGTTGCTTTCTCTGGTAATGTTTCATTTTTATCTGTTACACAAATATCAAAATATTCCATAACCTTCGGCGAAAGCGGCAGTTCAAACAGTAATCTACCTTACAAATATATAAATATAAATAAAATAAGATATAAAACTTAGAAGTGATTTAATTTATCTCAGTTCTAACCTATATCACTGAAATACTTACTAATTTTATCTGTAACTAAGATTCTACCACTCTCCTCTTTCAATTTCTTGCTCAGAATCGAACACTAAAAAATGTCGTCCTTTTACAAGTATAACATCATTGTTAGCCATGATGCTTCACTGTTTAAAATTTTATTTTAATCAAGGGAAGCTAATGTACAATCAAGAATAAACGGTTGAATACTTTCATTTTGTATTTTCCCGCGCTTTAGCAGTGGTAACCCAAACAACCTCTACATTTTATGAGGTAAGAAAGTTACCTTCGTGGTCGACCAACTGCGACTTTTGGAACGGCTATCATTGGATAACCATTCAGTGCATAGATACTTTCGGAACGAATTATGGTAACCAAGGTTGGATTTTGGAACGTACCCCAGAGAGGAGAAGGAGAGGTGTGTCATGGGCCGCTTTTAGCCGAGCCAAGCGATCTCTGTACAACCGTGCACAAGAACTAACGACGCCAGTGTCCACTGTTCTTTACTGATTTCCTCTATATGCATGCATCCGTGTCACACGGATAGACCGAGCCGGCTATGTGCATGCATGATAGAGGAAATCAGTAAAGAACCGTGGACACTGGCGTCGTTAGTTCATGTGCGCAGTACCGCGATTCTGTAACTCGTTATTGGAGTTAACGACAGTTTCGTTATTGTTGCGCAGCTTTTCTACGGTATACAAAAGTTGCGCAACGATAACGAAAGTATCGTTAACTCCAATAACGAGTTACAGAATCGCGGTACTGTTGGGTAACCCGACAGTTTCCCGAAAAATGGCAGAGAAAAGGTTGGTATCAACGAAAACTTCTAGACGACATAATTTTAATTTGTAAAGGTTAGTAATATTATTTAAGTGGTAAGCTGTTAGTTTGCGCAAACTTTTTGACAGATGTACACACGTTGTCACAAATATCATGTATCGTCAAATTATAAGTGTAAAATACTTTATAATATTAAATAAAAATGACATAAGTGAAAACATAAAGTGCATATAACAAAATAAATGAGACGAGTGAGAACATAAAGTTAATAAGGTAAAAAACATAATAAATAAATAAATATATATATATTATATTGGGTGAGTGCAAAAGTTCGTGCGGAGTTTCAATAGATGGAGTTATAAGCGTCGTAAAGTGTTGTCATTAATACTTCCATCTATATATTATATAACGTTGGAAAGGTGACGTCTTCAGCTGTTATTAAAAGAAAAATCATTAGTTTTCATACAAACTGCTTCGAGAAATATCACTTTAAAAATGAGTATCGATAAGGTGCATTTATGGCATGTTATGCTTTACGAGTTTCGGAAGGGAATAAACGTTGCCGCAGCCGTAAAAAACATTCAGGATGTTTATCAGGATGAAGCACCAGCTAAACGAACTGTGGAAAAATGGTTTGCTAAATTTCGGCGCGGAGAATTTAACCTTGAAGACGAGCCACGCTCTGGTCGACCTTCTGACATTGATGACGATGTTTTGCGTACTTTAGTGCTCAATAATCCGCGAATTTCAACAGAAGAAGTTGCTACAGCACTAAACGTTGACCGATCAACCGCTTTTCGGCGTTTGAAAAAGATGGGATTCGATTTGAAGCTCGATATATGGGTGCCCCATTTGCTGACCGAGAAGAACAAAATCAAGCGAATTTCTGCAGCCGTTTCTATACTCAGGCGGCTCAATAACGAGTCGTTTTTGGATCGACTAGTGACGGGCGATGAGAAATGGGTCCTCTACAACGATGTTCAGCGCAAACGGACATGGAAACAATCAGGCATGGTGAGCATGGTGACGCAATGCCAAAGGCCAGTTTGCACCCGATGAAGGTGATGCTCTCTGTTTGGTGGGATTGCAAGGGCATAATCTATTTCGAGCTTCTCCCCGCTGGCGAAACGATTGATTCGGACAAGTACTGTCGCCAATTAACCAATCTGAATCGAGAAATAAAAGAGAAACGTCCGATTTTGTCAAATCGCAAGGGAGTCGTCTTTCATCGCCAGACGACAACGCCAGACCACACGTTTCGAAAAAGACGCTGCGCAAACTGAAGAGCCTGAAATGGGATGTCTTAACGCATCCACCGTATTCTCCTGATATCGCACCATCTGACTATCACTTGTTCCGGTCATTGCAAAATTATTTAAATGGAAAAAACTTTGACTCTTTGGAGGCCTTAAAAAACGGCGTCTCTTCGTTCTTCGAATCTAAACCGCGCAGTTTTTATGATCGAGGCATCCGTATGCTGCCAGAACGTTGGGAAAAGATTATAGAAAACGATGGAGAATATATCATTGATTGAATAAAGATTTTTGTTTGCCTAATCACTGTGTGACTTTTACTCACAAACTCCGCACGAACTTTTGCACTCACCCAATATATATATATATATATATAATATTAGGTGCGCAACTAAGTTCTCGCTGTTTTTTTGATGAAAATGCAACTTTATTGTGAAAAAATGGTTACAAATGAATCATTCAAAATATTGCCCATCGCTAGCGACAACTTTTTCCCATCTTTCTGGCAGAGCTCGAATACCGTCACGGTAGAAGTATTCGTCTTTTGAGGCTATCCACGAATCAAGCCATTTTGAGATGTCTTCATATGAGCGGAACTGCTGATTAGCCAGACCATGTGCCATCGAACGGAACAAATAATAATCGGACGGCGCAATATCTGAGGAATATGGCGGGAGGGATAAGACTTCCCATTTGAGCGTTTCTAAGTAGATTTTAACGGGTTTGGCAACATGAGGCCAAGCGTTGTCATGCTGTAGAATCACTTTTTCGTGCCTCTGCTCGTATTGTGGCCGCTTTTCGCGCAGTGCTCGGCTCAATCGCATCAATTGAGTTCGATACCGTTCCCCAGTGATGATTTCGTTCGGATTCAACAGCTCATAATAAATAACACCGCCCTGGTCCCACCAAATACACAGCAAAACATTCGCAGCGTGAATATTCGGCCGAGCCGACGATATAGAAACATGACCGGGCAGTCCCCATGATTTTGTTCTCTTTGGGTTGCTGTAATGAATCCATTTTTCATCACCCGTAACGATGCGATGAAGAAAACCCTTCCTTTTTTGCCGCTGGAGCAGTTGTTCACAGGCGAAGAAACGACGCTCAACATCTCTTGGCTTCAAATCATAAGGAACCCAAGTTCCTTGTTTTTGAATCATTCCCAACGCATGCAATCGCTTGGAAATGGCTTGGCGGGTAACTCCTAATGCTGAAGCAAGCTCTTTTTGCGTTTGGCACGGATCCTCATCGAGCAATGTCTCCAATTCAGCGTCTTCGAAGGTTTTTGGCCTTCCTTCACGCGAACGATCGTCAACAACGAAATCACCGTCTTTGAAGCGACGGAACCAATCACGGCACGTTGTTTCACTTAGAGCAGCATCTCCGTAAACTTTTTGGAGTTCTCGATGCGCTTCAGCCGCCGTTTTCTTCGAATGAAAGAAGAAAAGCAACACTTCCCGCAAATGACGATTATTTGGCACAAAACATTTTCACAAGACATTTTCACACAACCAAAAGCATATGACGCAAAAACAAAATCACTAATGTGTCAAAGCGGTTTGTTTACCATATGTCTAAGCTTGGTTCATGACGTTTTGGTTATGTCACAATCGACCAGCACTTACTACTGGAGCCATCTCTTGAAAAACAGCGGGAACTTAGTTGCGCACCTAATATATATATTATATATATATGTGTGTGTAGAGGCATATATATGTATGTGTGTAACTAGATAAGTAATTATTAAATGTAAATAAATAATTTAAGTTTTTCAGTGTTTTGGCATGCTTCAGTAAATTATCGGTCATGGTTGTGACTTAGTTCTTCGCATTGGCATAAATTTTCCACTATTGCAATAAAGAAATACATATCAAATAAGTAATTAATATTCACATAAAATAAAAGATTAAGTATCTATGTATAGTCAGTAATGATAGATGTTGAACCGATTCTTTCTTTCGATTAATTTTTTGTTTCAGCTTCCCTGCTATCCAAGTTCTTGCAGAATATTATTAGTTGGAGGCCACTTTCCTGTGAAGTAAGATTACCAAAGTCTGAGGTTACTGTGTCCTTGAATGCGTCCCAGAAAGCAAAAGTTGAATCACATCCTAATATCAAATATCAGAGTAAGATGTGTTACTAGCAGTGTGATGACAGATTAATGCATCAAACTAATAATAGGTTCGTAACATTGATGTTTACTGTCATATTGTCAATGCTTTTGACAGCTGTACTTGAAATATTTTTATCACTTTATCATGTAGCATACTGGCTGATATACTTTTCTTATCTTTTAGGAAACAGGATGTTTTGCCTATGTTTGCCTCTGCAAGTAAGGTTATTGTGATTTACGGTTGTTCACGCGGTCGCGTTCTCCGCTCAGAAGTTGACCGCTATGCAGAGATTCCGGTATTGCTCAGCGCTGAGCAACGAGGTCGATGGACCGATGGGGATAGGACACCAAGGCAGGGAGACGGTCCCGAGATCCACCAAAAAAGACGGTGTTGGTCAAAATCCGTTTCAACGGTTTAATTCTCAACAAAACTTTAAGCCCGTTCGAACCGGGTGACCGCGGATATTACAACAAAAACAAAAAAAAACGATGACAATAAACGGATGAATTCCGGCACGGAATTCAAGACCGGCGCGACAACTTCGCTATGTTGCGATCGGCGCACGAAAACCTGACCAGCAGAGTCAGGCGTCGAGATAAACGCACAAGATAGGCTCGATTGCCGGTTAGCAGCACACACACCGAATCCTCGCGCGATGAGTCATTATATTCACGGCGTGATCTCAGCTGTCGAACCTTCGAGAAACAGGCAAATATGTCGTAACGAGACCTAGATAAACATAACTCAAAGTATACAGATACACCGAGCTGGATCGACAGCTATTGTTCGTCTGTTTATATTTGGTTGGAATTGATTGCTGTGACACGATTTCAATAAACGGCCACAGTAACCGACATCCGAGAATACCTGGCCAAGGAGCAAGTCTTCGGTCGAAATTTTCAGACTGAACGTCTGGCGGACATCGAGCTCTTGAACAACGGTCAAGAATGATGAACTTTTCCCCAAAAATTGAGGATTGGTCCTTAAAGAAGACAACTACAGTAAAATGAAAAATAAAAATCATATAAATGGAAGATGCAAGAGTCACGAGAAATCAAGGATCACAAAGAAAGTAGAAAGTAAGACCATGTTATATTATGCGTTTATTTCGTCTTTTCCTATTAATTTTGATAATTCGTACAAAATTAATAGTAAATCTACATCTTTGCTTTTATCAATTTTGGCCCAAATGTCTTTTAATATTATTTCTTTTCTTTTTAAGGAAGAATTTGTAACGGCCGAACTCCGCGGTTCGGTCGCTGCTACGCGTTTCGCGCGGATAAGGCTCGTCGGAGTCCGGGTTCGGTGAGGAGGAAAGCAGCGAGACGTTCGAGAGTAATATAAGTACGTTAGCTTTATTCTATACTCAATTTGATACAAGAGTTCGGCCCCGAAGGCGATGTCGCGGGTTGCGTTTGTAAGGCGCGTCGGTACGGTACGGTGCGGTGCGGTGAGCGGTGCAAGCGCTCGTACAGACGGATAGGCCGTGCGGAAGGCGGGGCCTATTACGCGACGCGTGTAGATCGTAACGACGGTAACGGCGCGGTGATCGGTCTCGCTTCGCGACGCTGGGCGTCTCGGACAATTACCGCCCAATACTCGCTTCGGAATTGCTTGCGTAAAAATGGTCGCCGGACCGGAGATTTCGATTCTCGGTCGAACGCACGCACGCGAGTCGCGGGAGACGCGAGATGATTTCGTCCGTCGGGGCCGAGGACTCTCGACAGAGAAGGCGTACGCACCTTCCCTTTTCCCTACGTTCGTGGAGGAAAGCGACCAAGTGCTGCGGACACTCAGCGGAGACGGCGAACACACCGTCCCGGGTTCCTGGTCGCTAGACGGATCGCCTAAAGGCTGAGTACGCTCAGCGGAGTTCGCCGACGGACGAACCCCTGACTCGAGGCGGCGGGTAAAGGCGAGAGACTGTCGAGTACGCTCGACTGAGCACGCGTACACACGAGCCCAGGAAGACGGGAGACGGCCAAGTATCGAGAACGCTCGATCGAGACTGCGGACGCACAATCCCGTGTTCTTAGTCGCCGGTCGGGTAGTCGGAAAGCGGAAGGCAGAGCGAAACGGTCCGGATCTTCTAGCTATCGGCATAGAGCGTCTAGCTAGAACGGCGGTACGGATCGGACTGGTGACTAGGAGCTCGATCGCCGCCGTTTTATAGTTGTTCGCGCTACGATTGATACGGCGGCGATCGAGCGGCGCGCCTATCGACGCGAGGCACGGTGACGGCGCGTGATCGCGGCCGCGCGCGCTAGCGGCAGCGCGTGAGCGCCGCGGCGCGCGATAGCGGCGGCGCGTGATAACGGCGGCGCGATCGTCTTCGCTATTTTAGGGTGGCGCAAAGCGCCGTTCTTCGGCCCGACAGGTGGTCGGTCGGGCAGGTAGTAACGAGGTGCATCTGCGCCTCGTTACAAATTATAATCGGATCTTGCCCAAAATGTTGGATTCCTCATCATGTTATGAATGTTTCTCTGGTGTTGTGTTAATTTTTCTGTAATACATAATATTAAATTATAAGAATGCTAAAAATATTCTGGCAATAAATGCAATAGAGTGCTTAATAATATACCTAAGAATGTTATGATTGTTGGATGTTTACGAAGACTTTCCTTCAATTCTCTATTGTGTCGTTCACTTATATTGTTTGTTTTATGCAGTTGTTTATATACACAAAACGAACTGGATTTAAAATTATTTAACCATGTTTCTTTGTAATAATTAAAAAATTCATCTAAATATGTACATTTATGTACATTTATAAATAATTTTAGTGATTATATAAAAACCTTCTTCTATAACTGATTCTGGCAACAATGCTAATGATATTAATAATTTTGTTGCATTCCACCCTATTTCTTGTTTGTTGTCTTTTAAAATTTTATATTTAACTATATATATAGTTAAAGAAGTATTAAATATCGGAGTAAAAAAATTATTAAATTATTTGATTGAGAAAATACTACATAATACAGAATTTGTTGCAATTTATAGTAATATTAATTAATATAAATAATATAAATGTTACTCCAAAATATTTCGTTACCTTGTATCTTCGTAAGATTTATTAAAATGGAAATGATATCCATGAATTAATTTTGGCTGCAGTATCCTTATATTATTATTGCACTTATTTGGATGCGACATCTCGGCAAAATACAGAAAATTTGCAAAATAATGTAATGAATGATGTCATCTATCACAATGCCATGGAAGAGAAAAATGACAATCACGATTCGTGATGTCTTTCGACGATGTCGAAAGATGTATTGAACGTTCGAAAAAGAAAAATGGATTTGGACAGACCCCGCAAAATTTAACAGACATGAGTATCAGTTTGAAAAAAAAAATGGAAAGATCTATTAAAAATAAATGAAACACATTTTTAAACAATGTTTTAAAAAAATTAAAAATATTATAGATCTATAATATTTCAATAAAATAATATTTTAATAAATATTTTAATAATTAAAAATAATTAAAAATATTATAGATCTATAATATTTTAATAAAATAATATTTTAATAAATATTTTAATAATATTTTAATAATTAAAATATTTTAATAAAATTAAAAATATTATAGATCTATAATATTTTTAATTTTTTTAAAACATCTAAATAATTTTCGGTTGTGCGGCCTTCCATTATTGAATACACAATAGGATATGTCTGAAATTTGAGAAAAAAATTTAAGTTGTTTATATATTTATATTGAGTGTATTTTGCAATAATATAAACTAATTATTATTTAATGAATATAATTTTGAATTCTTTTACTTACTCTGTCATTATTTCTAATAACAATAAACCATAATTGACAATTATTATTATGTAATTGAGGCACCGTTGCGAAGGTACCATCCACAAAAATAATTAACTTATTTGTTAATTTTGTTATACTTTCTATTATAAATTTGTCAATAAAAATGACCGCCTTAGTATCATTATTTTTAATAACTGTTTCTACAGCAAATGAATGTGTTTCATTTATTTTTAATAGATCTTTCCATTTTTTTTTCAAACTGATACTCATGTCTGTTAAATTTTGCGGGGTCTGTCCAAATCCTTTTTTCTTTTTCGAACGTTCAATATATCTTTCGACATCGTCGAAAGACATCACGAATCGTGATTGTCATTTTTCTCTTCCATGGCATTGTGATAGATGACATCATTCATTACATTATTTTGCAAATTTTCTGTATTTTGCCGAGATGTCACATCCAAATAAGTGCAATAATAATATAAGGATACTGCAGCCAAAATTAATTCATGGATATCATTTCCATTTTAATAAATCTTACGAAGATACAAGGTAACGAAATATTTTGGAGTAACATTTATATTATTTATATTAATTAATATTACTATAAATTGCAACAAATTCTGTATTATGTAGTATTTTCTCAATCAAATAATTTAATAATTTTTTTACTCCGATATTTAATACTTCTTTAACTATATATATAGTTAAATATAAAATTTTAAAAGACAACAAACAAGAAATAGGGTGGAATGCAACAAAATTATTAATATCATTAGCATTGTTGCCAGAATCAGTTATAGAAGAAGGTTTTTATATAATCACTAAAATTATTTATAAATATACATAAATGTACATATTTAGATGAATTTTTTAATTATTACAAAGAAACATGGTTAAATAATTTTAAATCCAGTTCGTTTTGTGTATATAAACAACTGCATAAAACAAACAATATAAGTGAACGACACAATAGAGAATTGAAGGAAAGTCTTCGTAAACATCCACCAATCATAACATTCTTAGGTATATTATTAAGCACTCTATTGCATTTATTGCCAGAATATTTTTAGCATTCTTATTGGGTGAGTGCAAAAGTTCGTGCGGAGTTTCAATAGATGGAGTTATAAGCGTCGTAAAGTGTTGTCATTAATACTTCCATCTACATATTATATAACGTTGGAAAGGTGACGTCTTCAGCTATTATTAAAAAAAAAATCATTTGTTTTCATACAAACTGCTTCGAGAAATATCACTTTAAAAATGAGTATCGATAAGGTGCATTTACGGCATGTTATGCTTTACGAGTTTCGGAAGGGAATAAACGTTGCCGCAGCCGTAAAAAACATTCAGGATGTTTATCAGGATGACGCACCAGCTAAACGAACTGTGGAAAAATGGTTTGCTAAATTTCGGCGCGGAGAATTTAACCTTGAAGACGAGCCACGCTCTGGTCGACCTTCTGACATTGATGACGATGTTTTGCGTACTTTAGTGCTCAATAATCCGCGAATTTCAACAGAAGAAGTTGCTACAGCACTAAACGTTGACCGATCAACCGCTTTTCGGCGTTTGAAAAAGATGGGATTCGATTTGAAGCTCGATATATGGGTGCCCCATTTGCTGACCGAGAAGAACAAAATCAAGCGAATTTCTGCAGCCGTTTCTATACTCAGGCGGCTCAATAACGAGTCGTTTTTGGATCGACTAGTGACGGGCGATGAGAAATGGGTCCTCTACAACGATGTTCAGCGCAAACGGACATGGAAACAATCAGGCATGGTGAGCATGGTGACGCAATGCCAAAGGCCAGTTTGCACCCGATGAAGGTGATGCTCTCTGTTTGGTGGGATTGCAAGGGCATAATCTATTTCGAGCTTCTCCCCGCTGGCGAAACGATTGATTCGGACAAGTACTGTCGCCAATTAACCAATCTGAATCGAGAAATAAAAGAGAAACGTCCGATTTTGTCAAATCGCAAGGGAGTCGTCTTTCATCGCCAGACGACAACGCCAGACCACACGTTTCGAAAAAGACGCTGCGCAAACTGAAGAGCCTGAAATGGGATGTCTTAACGCATCCACCGTATTCTCCTGATATCGCACCATCTGACTATCACTTGTTCCGGTCATTGCAAAATTATTTAAATGGAAAAAACTTTGACTCTTTGGAGGCCTTAAAAAACGGCGTCTCTTCGTTCTTCGAATCTAAACCGCGCAGTTTTTATGATCGAGGCATCCGTATGCTGCCAGAACGTTGGGAAAAGATTATAGAAAACGATGGAGAATATATCATTGATTGAATAAAGATTTTTGTTTGCCTAATCACTGTGTGACTTTTACTCACAAACTCCGCACGAACTTTTGCACTCACCCAATATAATTTAATATTATGTATTACAGAAAAATTAACACAACACCAGAGAAACATTCATAACATGATGAGGAATCCAACATTTTGGGCAAGATCCGATTATAATTCTTCCTTAAAAAGAAAAGAAGTAATATTAAAAGACATTTAGGCCAAAATTGATAAAAGCAAAGATGTAGATTTACTATTAATTTTGTACGAATTATCAAAATTAATAGGAAAAGACGAAATAAACGCATAATATAACATGGTCTTACTTTCTACTTTCTTTGTGATCCTTGATTTCTCGTGACTCTTGCATCTTCCATTTATATGATTTTTATTTTTCATTTTACTGTAGTTGTCTTCTTTAAGGACCAATCCTCAATTTTTGGGGAAAAGTTCATCATTCTTGACCGTAAATCACAATAACCTTACTTGCAGAGGCAAGCATAGGCAAAACATCCTGTTTCCTAAAAGATAAGAAAAGTATATCAGCCAGTATGCTACATGATAAAGTGATAAAAATATTTCAAGTACAGCTGTCAAAAGCATTGACAATATGACAGTAAACATCAATGTTACGAACCTATTATTAGTTTGATGCATTAATCTGTCATCACACTGCTAGTAACACATCTTACTCTGATATTTGATATTAGGATGTGATTCAACTTTTGCTTTCTGGGACGCATTCAAGGACACAGTAACCTCAGACTTTGGTAATCTTACTTCACAGGAAAGTGGCCTCCAACTAATAATATTCTGCAAGAACTTGGATAGCTGGGAAGCTGAAACAAAAAATTAATCGAAAGAAAGAATCGGTTCAACATCTATCATTACTGACTATACATAGATACTTAATCTTTTATTTTATGTGAATATTAATTACTTATTTGATATGTATTTCTTTATTGCAATAGTGGAAAATTTATGCCAATGCGAAGAACTAAGTCACAACCATGACCGATAATTTACTGAAGCATGCCAAAACACTGAAAAACTTAAATTATTTATTTACATTTAATAATTACTTATCTAGTTACACATATACATATATATGCATGTACACACACATATATATATAATATATATATTATATATAATATATATATGTTTATTTATTTATTTATTATGTTTTTTACCTTATTAACTTTATGTTCTCACTCGTCTCATTTATTTTGTTATACGCACTTTATGTTTTCACTTATGTCATTTTTATTTAATATTATAAAGTATTTTACACTTATAATTTGACGATACATGATATTTGTGACAACGTGTGTACATCTGTCAAAAAGTTTGCGCAAACTAACAGCTTACCACTTAAACAATATTACTAATCTTTAGAAATTAAAATTATGTCATCTAGAAGTTTTCGTTGATACCAACCTTTTCTCCGCCATTTTTCGGGAAACTGTCGCGTTACCCGTAATTGTACACTCGTGAACTAAAAGATATGTGCAGAGAGAAGAATAAAGCTAAGACTCCATGCATGCGGTGAGCTGCGGCAAATGCTGCGATGACCAATCAAGAGGGAGGCGCAAGTCCGGTCGCGGCAAGCTCCGGCATGCGTCTGTCTCCTGATTGGTCACCGCAGCCGTTTGCCGGAGCTCACCGCATGCATGGAGTCTTAGCTTGAGAGCGGCCTCCGGCCGTATTTCGGGGGTACGGCTAGGCGCATTTTAAATACGCCATCTGACCAAAATGCGCCTAAACTACGTCCGCTAGGCGCACTTTCGCGATGATAAAAGTAAAATGCGCCTAGGTTCGTGTCCGTACTACTTCCATGCAATGGATAATAGGTTAGAAAAAGACAGACGACAGACAATCGTTCCGTCTTTGTCTCACTACTGAGCGGCGCGCGGCAGTAAACACGAGGCGAGGTAGCGGCGATCTTATCTTTCATCTTTCACATACTGCGTTTCGCGTAATTAAGAAAGGAAATGATTTGGAAACTTCGGAAATTGACAATGAATAAATATAAAATTTGTGGAATTTTCTTTTTTACAATATATATATATTTTTTAATATTTATACATATGTGTGTGTGTGTATTGTAGTGTATTGTAGAATGTGTGTGTATTGTAGTGTAGAAAAATGTTGATACCAAATGTATCGTATCTGCCTCTTCCCCTTCTTTCACCTTTGCCTCTTCCTCTCCATTCACCTCTGCCTCTTCCCCTTCTACCATCTCTGCCTCTTCCTCTGTCTTCGCCACTGCTTCTGCCTCTTCCTCTTCCTCTTCCTCTGCCTCTTCCTCTCCCTCTCCCTCTCCCTCTTCCTCTCCCTCTTCCTCTTCCTCTTCCTACTGCAGCCACGACAGCTGCTTTAATAATATTTTGCAGTGTTTTAGGCTATAACAATAAGTTAATTTTAAAATATGAGACAAAGCGTTAAATAACAACTTACAATTTAATATAATATATTATAATTTAATATAATATATAGATCAGCATAGACATATACAGATTTTCATACTTACAGTTAATATAATTGGCTTGGTCGCCATTGTGGCCGTCGTAGCCGTTGTGGCCGACGTAGCCATCGTGGCCGTCGTGGCCGTCGTGGCCATTGCAGCCCCCGTAGACGCCGCCGTCGTGGACGTCGTCATCACCGCGTTCAGCTCGTTCTGGAAAAATTCATAAAACATATTTGTTGCATATAATATATATATATATAATTAATATTTAACGATTAAATATATACTCACAGAATCATTCCCCGACATCTCTCGTTGCAGTGCCAGACACCGATTAATTAGAAAACGTGCGCGTACGCTAGGCGCATAGTTGCCGATTTTTTACGATCGCGCGTACGGGCGAGTGTTCTATAAAACAGATTGTACTGCAGCACGGTACAGACAATGACAATGGCGTTTAAAATGCCTTTACTCGTAATTATATATAAAATATAGGTTTGAATTTATACTTAATATAATAATATGTAAAATATATGTTAACAACTATTATTTTGCAACTTTTTAGACACGATTTTGTTGTGAATTCTGCTTTACAACAATCTCGGGTTGAATCGCGGACCAATACTTTTCAGTATATGTATTCATTATAATACAGGGAATAGAACGTGAAAATCTTGCCTTTGAATCCGAAAACAATTAGCAGAAGAAGTGAATCTTTTTCAATGCGAGAGTTCGCATTAACATGAATTCTATCTACTGCGATTGAATGCAAGGAATGTCTTAAGCTAAGTGAATTCTTTTTTAAACGAAAGTTCGTATTTGTTTTAATTTTACCACTCTGAAAGGAAATTCGAATACTTTTCAATGCGTAAGGGCGAAATAAAATATACTTTACTGTTTGGCAATACCATTTTGTAGACAAATGTTTTTTAGTCTAATTAATAATTAAAGAACAAAGAACAAATGATTCTTTATGATAAGAAAGTAAAAATTTATAAACATTTTATGCAAAGCATTTACCACTACCATCTCGCATTCAGCGTGATGAAGTTTAATGTGAATCATTACTTTTCAATATTTCTGTTCGGATCAGAAAGCAGAAATTAGAAGTATTAAAAAATATCAATACTTGTTAATTCTTCTCAATCCAACATTTTTTGCAGAGCATTAAACGACAATACATTTACGTCAACCATATAGATTCCACGTGGATACAATATACCTGTTCTTATCGGATAAACGTTCAATAAACAGTCGAATAAAATTCATTATAAACATGAAAACACCTTACATAAACATATATAACAGTATGTATCACCTTATTCTGGTTGTTTAATAAAACAATCCTGCATAAAATGTCGGATCGAAAAGAATTAAAAAATATTTATATTTTTTCAATATTTCTTAATTTTGTTTTCTGGCCCCAGCGAAGGAATTGAAAACTTTTGGTTTGTATTAAATTTCATTGCACTGAATATGAGACGATAGTGGTGAATGTTTTCATTCAAAATGTTTACAAATTTTAATTTTCTTATATTATAAGGAATCGTTTCTAATTATTAATTAAACTAATAAACATTTGTCTATAAAATTGTGTTGTCAAACAGTGAAGTATATTTAATTTTACATTAAAAAGTACCTGAATCTCTTTTCAGTGGCAAAATTTTAACGAATATGAACTTTCGCATTAAAAAGAATCTACTTAAATCAAAACGTCCCTCGCATTCAATCGCAATAGATAGAATTCAAATAAATGCGGAAAATGCATTAAAAAAAAAATTTACTTCTGCTATTTGTTTTTGGATGCAGAGGCATACAAGATTTTCACGTTCTATTCCCCATATCGCACTGAAAAATATTGACCCCCGATCCAATCCAAGATTATTATAAAGCAGAATTCATGACAAAATTTCGTAAATACGAAACAATACTTTTGAAATAAGACTTTATGCAGTGAAGTAATGTGGGATATTATGACTTGATCAATAAAATGATATAATTCCTTTTTTGGACCATTGAGTCACGCTACACGACGAGTATTCGCCGTATCGAAAAGGTTAAAATATTATAGCACGTTCATTACGAATTATTATTCGATACAAGCTATAATGATTTCCGAAGCACATCAGCGTTAATAAACCGAGTGCTGTTTGCAAATATTTTTCAAGACAGTTGCGTCAATAGATGCGTTCAATAGAAGAAGTTGTTTTACAACTATTGTAAAATTCGTGAATCTATTATAATTAGTAGATGCTCTTTGATTCAGCTAAGATTAAGGGATCGTCTACAATAGAGGTCGTAAAATCATTAAGCTGTAATTCAAAAGACTATTGGCCAATACACAGTTCATTATTTTCCATGCGGTTCAGAAAAAATCTATTGTAATTTTTCAAATCACAATCAATTCTCAATTTGTCAATTTCTTAGGATCTACGACTTTACGACTTTACGACTTCTATTGTAAACATAGCCTGAGAACTTCAGTCGGATTCACGAATTTTACTACAGTTGCAAAGCAGTTTTCTCTTAACATAACCAATGGCTTTTACGCACTTGTATCTGTACGTATGATACGAAACGTTCCCCGCTCGAGTAGGCGGAGCCTTTTTTAAAGCCCGTCAGTATTCGACTAATCGCTTCATGCTCGATACCGAGGTGATGTTAAATTATCTGTGCGTAAAGAATGAAAGGTCTAAACTACTGATGATTAACGATCTATTTTCTTCTGAATGATTAAAAAGACATTTTTAGAAAGATACGTTTATAGAAAGGGGAGAGAAAAAGAGAGAGAGAGAGAGAGAGAGCAAATATTTATTTATTTATTTATTCTTTGCAACCTTATTCAAAAAGAATAAGTAAAAAATATAAAGTGCATTGTTATAAATATTTCAGTTATGTTTATACAAAGTTAACAAAGTAACAAGTCATTTTTATTCTATTTGTACTTATAGTGTTAAAGAGTGATATTTACGTACACGACACATACATTAACGAAATTATGCTATTATTTGCTTATTATTATATAGCATGTCATGCACTAACTTTACAGTTTAAAACGATGTCTAATAAATTACAAGGAAATTAATATATACTTTATTCGGAAAAGCATGTACTGAACTTTGTACAGCAACGAGAAACGCTAACAACGAGAAGCGCTAACAAGTTTACATAATAAGAAAACATAATAATCAAACGAATGTTTAATTTAATTTAGTGATATGTGCTGTGACGATGATATATACTCGACGCCGTTGATACTTTATTATTCCCAACATCGATAGAAATCGATAGTCATTATATATTTTTAATATTTTCTTGCCGGGAGCGTTTCTAGCTGTATCTTTCTTATGATTGTTCATTCATCGAAAAAGCGGGAACGTGTTCAAAGCAGAAATGGCATTTTCAGAGCTTTACATTTCATATAGTTCAATAAAGAGGATTTTTCCTTTAATATATTTTTTTACGCAATTAATAAAAGAATGTTAGGATAGTTAAAAAGAATATTAAAAAAGATAAGTTTAAGGTTAACACACGTTATTTGTTATATTATTATTTTTTTATTTATTATTTTAATAAATAATTCAAACTTGAATTACCAAAGATGCGATAAATAAATGCAACTTATGACTTTGAAAAATCTTGAGTTTACAATACATTGCTAATAGGTTTAGACACAATGAAGTTGGAAGCTCACGAAATTGGCAAAATTGAAAGTCATTACCGAGCAACTTTTGCAATAATAATATTATTAAAAATATAGTAAAGAACACTTAATAATAATAATAATAATAATAATAGTATTGAAAGCAGAATCTCGATCTACAGATTCACATCGCGAGCGATCATCTCGACATTATCGAGTAGCCTGACAACGAGAGTCAATGTAAACAGTTTTTGTTGCTCGACTCAATAATAGGCGGTATCGACGATTCCTTCTGGATTCCTTCTGAAATCGTCGATGAGGAATCTGAAGGACTGATCGAGAATTGTCTTGACGGTTATATAAGTCACCTTACGAAAGAAAGTGTGCGCTCTTCTTACGACTCTTCTTATGAGACTTCTTGCGACTTCTTGCGGGTCGCTTACAATT